AAAAAAAAAAAAAAAAAAAAAGCTGTTCATTCCTGTCATCTATCCAAATTCTTCCCCATCTCTGGACTCCTAAGTCTTGCCATTTTCCTGGTAGGGAGGAACTTCATGGCCATGAATGTGAGCTGTCCAAATACTCAGAAAAAAAGAATCTTGACTTTCTTCTCTTCTTTGACCTTCTTCACTCTATTTCAGCCAACATTCCCACAGCCCCACCCTAATCCTTGTCATCACTCTGAAATGACATTTCACTCTGTGACCACAACCACTACTACCCCAACTCCCCCACTGCTTCATTGCCAATGGCCTGAGGGATATACTGGCCAATGAGGTCTTTGGTTAAGGTTCCAAAGAGTGCAAACACTATAGAAGGTCAAGTCTCCCTCCTATTAAAATACTTTTTTTCTAACATTTTGAAACCTTTTGTTACATGTTTACATGAAAGTATTTGAAGAAACACAAGAGATTACAAGCAGTTTTTATAATGTTTCATAAAGAAAAACAGGTGGAGCCTGGCAGTCCAAAGTGGTGATTAACAGCATGAAATTTACATTCACAGCCAGGCGTGGTAGCTCACACCTATAATCCCAGCACTTTGGGAGGCCGAGGTGGGTGGATCACCTGAGGTCAGGAGTTTGAGACCAGCCTGACAAACATGGTGAAACCCCGTCTCTACTAAAAATACAAAAATTAGCTGGATGTAGTGGCTGTAATCCCAGTTACTCGGGAGGCTGAGGCTGCAGAATCACTTGAACCCAGGAGGCAGAGGTTGCAGTGAGCTGAGATCGTGCCATTGCACTGCAGCCTGACCAATGAGAGCAAAAGAGCAAAATTGCATCTCAACAAGAAAAAAAGAAAGAACAAAAGGAAAGAAAGAAGAATGAATGAAAGAAAGAAAAGAAAAGAAAGGGAGAGAGAGAGAGAGAAAGAAAAAAGAAAGAAAAAAGAAAGAGAAAGAAATAAAGAAAGAACGAAATTTACAGTCATACAAAACCATACTAAGACTATCCTCATTAGCAGTGAAATGCAGAACCAAGTCACTTACGACCGACTTTGGGGGCCTCACCTAACTCATTTGTAAAATGGAGATTATAAATCCAACCTCACAGTCTTGCAATGAAGAGTTTAATTAAGATTATGCTCATACAATCTTCCCACAGTTCTGGGGTTTTTTTCAAGCAGACACATGGAGCTGGGCTAGGACTGTTTTAATCCAAACACAGATGAGCACAGGAAAATATCAGATGTTCACATGTATGCAACATGGCCCACAAGCCTGCATACAGACACCTGAATGCACACATGAAAATATCCACATACTTACATGTAGTCACCCAGTTGTGAATGCGTACACACAAATATGAATATGCAGCATACATCTTGTTTTACACAGAAATGCACATTGTAGACACCCCTAAATCATGTGTACACACATGCTGTGTGCAGAGACAGACAAAAAGATTGGCAAGCATTGAGAAACAGTGGCACACCCTGTCAGGCACACACATGTGCATGTGTAGACATAAGTTGGAATGGATACCCATTATCAAGCACAAACATATACCCCACAAAGCCCGGCGCACACACAAATTCATGTATCAACATGACATACTGAAACATACATGCACATAGACACTACAAGCATGCACCCAGAATGACACACAGACAGTTGTATAAATGAGGATAAACATGGCAGAGGCATCCAGGAGAATCCACTGGACAAAATGGCAAAGATGTAGGAGCACACAGGGTGATTGAGGGGAACACTGACTTGCAGGGAAGGAGAAAGAGAAAGAAAGATGGGATCCAAGACAAGTGTAGACAGACAGGTGGGCAAAGTCCTGTGCAGGGCTCCAGGGCCAACAAGAATAACCTGAGAGTCTAATGCTGGCCTGTCCTTCTGCAGATACTGCCGAACTCAGTACCCCGCTCCAGGAGGCCATGAAGGATTAATTTCCTATTCACAGCTCCATGGGGTAAATCTTGGCTGTGCTGAGGAAGGGATGGGGAAAGAGGTTCCCAAAGACTCTGTCCCTTCCCTCCTTCCCAAAGGAAAAGATTTGGGAGCTTTAGACTAGAGAATGTAAAAGCAGGGAAGGTGCTTAGGGAACATCTCATCCATCCATTTCATCCTACAGATTAAAGAGAACAACTACTATTCATTGAGCACTTACTGCCATGTACCTCATCTGCATTAACACATACACTTCTCCCCTAAATAGCCAAAGTGGTAGGAGCTGTTCTTGGCTCCATAAAGCTCACAGAGATAAAGTCAGCTGTTCAAAGCCACACAACAAAGAAGGGATAAGGTTAGGATTCCAATCCAGACCTTAATCATTGTTCCATCCATTCAGAAAGGGAAACTGAGGCCCAGCAAAGAAAAGGGATCTTCCTGGGTTCGCCACTAACTCACTCTGAAAGCCTGTACCCAAGACACTGTCCACTGGGACAAGTCCCTCCCACATGATTTCAGACACCATTCTCTCACTCCACGCTCCAGGGTAATCAACAAGTCCAACATCGATTGACCTCTATGTGCACAAATACTGGAGTTCCCCCAGCCTGTCTCTCCCCACCCCTCCGTGGCCAGGTCATGGCAGCCTGCTGACCACTCAGTGCCCTTCCCTGTGCCAACATCACTGAGAAACAAACTCCCCAAATGTCTGTCTCCCACCTTTTAAAGAAATAAGGAAAAGGAGGGGCCAGGCCCAAGTGCAGGCTGGTGACCAGGATTAGAGGGATTGATATCTGCCCAGCTGGTGCTAATCCTCCTTCCAACCTCTTCCCCTCCAAAATCAACAAAAAACTTTCATCTCTCCGCTTTGTTCTCTGAACTTTGCTCCCTCCACACAGGTCTCAGAGCTCAGCATCCTAGAATACATGGAACAAGATGTCAGTCCTGGGGGTGCCAACCTCACCCACCTCCCCTTGTCCAAAGTTGGTGATCCTGAGGACAGGTGCAACCCTGGAATCTCCAAACATCACAGCCTGTCCTGTGGCCATCTAGGGCCCCTCTCAGGGTCTGGCTGAGGCTCATTTCAGGCCCACATAGGACCAATCTCAGCACCTGCCTCATGCTCATGTCAGAGCCCAATGGAACCAACCTCAGAACCTATATGGTGCCACTCTTATGCCCTCTAGAAGCAGGGCATTCATACACCCTCAATGACACCTGAGACAACACACAGAGCTGTCTTGGAACCAAACATGACTTTAATATTCTTCTGCTGTCAAGTTCAGTGCCAACTTGTTTCCCATCCTCGAGTACACCTGGGGGCAGTCCCAAAGCCAACACGATGCCTCCCCTCCCTGGCCGTACCTGATGCTGATATCAGAACCCGCCAGTGTCATCCCTGTGTCCACTGCTGATGCCAGTCTCAGCACCCACCTCCTGCTAAGCCTGGCCTGCACTTGACTCCCAGGGTGATCTAGGCCAGTCAATGAAGTGGGATGAGGAGAGAGTTCACATCCCAGCTCCCTTACTTACTCCCTGTGTGACCTCACTCAAGAGGATTTATGGAGTCTAGATCTGCTCATCTTCAAAATGAGGATGATGATGAACCAACCCCATTGTTACAAAGATTCCACCAGATCATACACACCTAGACTTGATCTTCCCATATGCGACCGTGCTCACCAAAGGGTAACAGTCCTGTTTACTAAGGAAGAATTTCCCTGAGGGAAGGACAGGAGGCTACTCATCCCTTCTCCACTCCCACCCACCCCAGGATCTGTCTCTGTGCCTGACACTGGAGTTTACTCCAATCTCTCCTGCGATTTTTCCCTCTGCCTGCTAATAGTAGTAGCCCCTGACAAAGCAGTAATCACCCTTAAAGGAGACTTAACTCACCTTCAAATATGATCTTCTCTTCCTAAATAGTCCCTTTCCACCGGCAGGAAAACCAAATCCACAAAGTGGAACTAACGACGCAGAGCAGGAGAGACGGGAGTTCAGGGCCACTCACGCACGTCCCCTGCCCACTGTCTGTTTTCTGTCCTCTGTAGACCCTTATATAAAATGAGAAACATAAATAACAATAATAATATTAATAGGGATGATAGAATCAATCTAGTGGGTTTCCCTAAGGATTAGGGTTGGAAACGAGTGGATGTCTTTGTAAATTACAACCCTAGGGACACTTGAGATTTTTCCACCATTTGGGGGTTGTTATTACTATTTCTCAAGACCTGGCCAATCCCTCTGCCAACTGATAACTCGAGGTACTCTCCTCCAGGTGTGGGGAAAGTTCCCCTGAAATATGGCTGTGGTCTTCCACCCCTTTCCCAACAAGAGATGTGCAGTGGAGGTTCTATGGCACCCATCCTGGCCTCACTCTGAAGTTCCAATGAGGATTCTGGGCATCAAGAGAGAGCTCTGGGCCAAAGCAAAATCAAGTCAGTCCCTGGGCCCAGGCTGGGCTGCTGGGTTTTCTGGGAGGACCTGCTGGGCTTGCTACACACTCCTCCCAGAAACTCCACACCCACACCCTGGTCTTCCCAGCCCCAAGACTCTCAAGTCCATAAACCTGGAATCCCCCCTCCTGAGACCCTTAACACTGCATCTTCCTCACCAGAAGACCCCCAAATGCACAGCCACACTTCTGTCTCACCTCAATGAAACACAGACCTTTGGTTTGCTCTCCCCAGGAACCTCCACATCCACAACTTTGAGGTGCATTCTCAGTCTCAGACCCAAAATCCAAAGTCCAGGTGCTCCCCTGTACAAATATTCCAAACTCCTCCGTTCTACAGTTTATCTGTTGCCCCTTCCTAAATCCACAGCCCTGGGGCACCCTTCCTGAAGTACCACAGATTTATTCTGGAGTTCCCCTCCCTGTTCAGCTTACCCAGGGTCCCCCTCCTCCTCCCTTGCTGACTATGTCCCAAGCTAGGCGGGATTCATGGTGGGGGGTGTAGTTAGGAGGTGAAATGAGGTGATTATATAATCAACCAAAGTCCGTCCCTTTTTTTCAGGCAGTATAAAGGCAAACCACCCCAGCCGTCACCATCTATCATCCCACTGCCACCATGCTGGCCTCGGGGCTGCTCCTGGTGGCCTTGCTGGCCTGCCTGACTGTGATGGTCTTGATGTCTGTCTGGCAGCAGAGGAACAACAAGGGAAAGCTGCCTCCAGGACCCACCCCATTGCCCTTCATTGGAAACTACCTGCAGCTGAACACAGAGCAGATGTACAACTCCCTCATGAAGGTGTCCCAAGGCAGGGAGATGGGTGGTACGGAGTGGGGGCTGCCCAGCTGGCTGGGGCTTTGTGGCAGGGGATTGACCAGTGTGGACTGGAGTCTTACGAAAGGGAGTTTTGGAGCATCAGCATCAGGGTCCTAGCCAAGAAAGACAGGATCTTGGGATGTCCAGCTCCCTGACTGTGAGAACCTAGGGACAACAGATCCCAGGAGTTGACAACTCGGTGCTGGGCCCATTCAGAGTGGGGGCTGCTCCCTCTAACCTCTCCCACCCGCCTCCATCAGATCAGTGAGCGCTATGGCCCCGTGTTCACCATTCACCTGGGGCCCCGGCGGGTGGTGGTGCTGTGCGGACATGATGCCGTCAGGGAGGCTCTGGTGGACCAGGCTGAGGAGTTCAGCGGGCGAGGCGAGCAGGCCACCTTCGACTGGCTCTTCAAAGGCTATGGTGAGGGGGTGCTCAAGAGGGGGAAGGTGGCCAGGGGGACGGGATGGTCTCAGTGTCCCCAGGCTTCTCCCTGCCTCTCCTGCCCACTGGAGGCTATGACAGAGCCCCCTGTCTGGTCTCTCTCCCCATCTCCCTTCATTCTGGCCTCTCCCTGTGTGTCCTTCACCTGTCTCCAGTGTCCCCGTCCTGATTCCTCCCTGCCTCTCTCTGCCCCTCGTTTTCTCTCCTCATTCCGCCTCACTGGAGTCTCCTCTTTCCCCTCTCTGTCCATCTCTGAGGACATCCCGGGTTTCTGTTTTCCAACCCTGGCCCTCTGTCTTCATTTGTCTTTTTGTCCTTCTCAGCTTCTGTGCTTCTCCGTGTTTCCCCTCTCTCCGCTTCCCTCTCCCACTTCTTCCTCTGGCTTAGGATTTCACAGGATTCCTACTTCCACATCTCCAGCCTCCATCTCTGAGTAACAGTTGGTCCTCCTTCCCAATCCTCTCTGTTTCTGTCTCTGTATGTTTCTCTCTTCTCCAGCTCAGCTTAAGAATCTTTCACCACTTTTATTTCCTCCTCCCAGATCTCCCCATATCTCAATTCCCCTCCCTCCATCCTCTTCCTCCATCTCTCTCTCTCTTTCTCTCCCTACTTTCTTCCCTTCCTCCATGGAGTGTCCCTGTATCCCTCTGTTTCTCTGGGCATCTGTCTGACCTTTCTGCTTCTCTTCTGATTCTCTTATTCTTTCTACCCGGGTTCTGTCTCTCTCTCTGTCTCTCTCTCTCTCTCTCTCTCTCTCTCTCTCTCTCTCTCTATCTCTCTATCTCTCTCTCTCTCTCTGCCCCCCTCACTCTCTTGTTTCTGTGACTCTGAGTTTGCAGCTCTTCTGGGCACTCGCGCTGAATCCATCTCTCTCCCACCTCACTCCGTCTCTGCTCCACCCTTGGGGAGCCCCCTGGAGCTGGTCTGCTCCTGCCCCCGCCGCCCCCTGACCTCTCTCCACCCCCACGTTCACCTCCCCAGGCGTGGTGTTCAGCAACGGGGAGCGCGCCAAGCAACTCCGGCGCTTCGCCATCGCCACCCTGCGGGACTTCGGCGTGGGCAAGCGCGGCATCGAGGAGCGCATCCAGGAGGAGGCGGGCTTCCTCATTGAGGCCCTCCGGGGCACGCGCGGTGAGCAGGGCACCCCGAGGGGACGGTTGCAGGGGCAGGAAAACGCCCAGGGCGGGGACCTGCGCATTCTGCCTGATGATGGGGACTAGGTGGGGAAAGGCCCCCGCACTTCCAGCCCTGGAGTCTGGCGCTGGGAATTTGGCTCAACAGGGCCCTGCCTCCCGGAATTCTGACTCTCCTCAGACCTCTGAGTTGACTCTCCCCCCAACCCCCTTCTCCGGCCACACCCGCAGGCGCCAATATCGATCCCACCTTCTTCCTGAGCCGCACCGTCTCCAATGTCATCAGCTCCATTGTCTTTGGGGACCGCTTTGACTATGAGGACAAAGAGTTCCTGTCACTGCTGCGCATGATGCTGGGAAGCTTCCAGTTCACGGCAACCTCCACGGGGCAGGTAACCGGCTGCAGCCCGGCCCGTGATGCCCCTACCACAACCTGTCAACTGCTCCCCTACCTGGAGACAGGTGCCCCAAACTCCCACCCCCCTCCAGACAGTGTCCCCTCAAAATCAACCCCCAATATTGGACAACTGTACAGTTGCACCAGAAACCAGGACGGATGCACAATACCCAGTCTCCAAGGACACCCAAATAGCTCAACAGATGCTCCCCAAAACAGAGCCTGCCAGCAGGATGCAAGCCCTCAGCTCAGCTCTCTTACCTGGGTGCATGTTCCCATCCCCAACTTACTGTAATTTCTAACAGGTACTCCCTACCCAATTCTTCTTTTCACATCTACACAAATGTTCCAAATTAGCCCACTGGAATATCTGGCCAAGCACCCTCTACTTCACCCACTTTAAATACCTGAAAACATGGACAGCTGCCCTAACCGACACCCTAAACACATAAATATCTAGACAGATTATTCCCCAGACACCCAAATAAGTGTTCCCCAACCCTTTGCAATCACACATCTTACAGAGGTGCTCCCAATGCATCCCACTTGGATACATAAACACCTGAACAGGTATCCCCTCCACTTTAACATCTTCACCAGCCGCGCTTTAACACATGAACACCTGAACAAAAGTCCCCAGTCCGGACCCGGTAAGTATCTGGATAGTTGTCCCCAACCACGTCCACTTAAATGCCTAAATACCTGGACAGGTGGCACTCCCCTCATACAAGCCACACCTGAATAGCTAAACACCTGGACAGGTGTCTTCCAACTCGACTTCACCTGAATATCTGAACACCTAGATGTGTGCTCCAATCCAGCCTCATTTAAATACCTGAAACCTGGATTTATGCCTCAGTTCTTCTCACCGAAATTCCTAGACCGTGGCCCTGGCACCTAATCCACATGAAAACTTAGATATAAGTTCCCATCCAACCCCACTGAAATACCTAAACACCTGGACAGATGCCGTTAACTCGGTTCCTTCCTTGCTATGAAACAAGTCCCATTCCCATCAGCTCCTGGCCCCTGACAACTGTCCTTTCCTCCCATCCTCTCTCTGCAACCCCAGCTCTATGAGATGTTCTCTTCAGTGATGAAACACCTGCCAGGACCACAGCAACAGGCCTTTAAGGAGCTGCAAGGGCTGGAGGACTTCATAGCCAAGAAGGTGGAGCACAACCAGCGCACGCTGGATCCCAACTCCCCACGGGACTTCATTGACTCCTTTCTCATCCGCATGCAGGAGGTACACCCCAGCAGCCAGTGCGGGGAGGTGCAAAGCCAGGCAGGGGGAAACCAGGCTGGGAGTGGGGCAGGCGGATAACACAGGGCCATTCAAATCGCCCTCGTCATAATAATCCTCACAATTGGCCGGGTACGGTGGCTCACGCCTGTAATCCCAGCACTTTGGGAGGCCGAGGCAGGTGGATCACCTGAGGTCAGGAGTTCGACCAGCCTGGCCAACATGGTGAAACCCAGTTTCTACTAAAAATACAGAAATGACCTAGGCATGGTGGCATGTGCCTATAATCCCAGCTACTCAGGAGACTGAGACAGGAGAATTGCTTGAACGCGGGAGGCAGAGGTTGTATTGAGCGGAGATCATGCCACTGCACTCTGGCCTGAGTGACAGAGCAAGACTCTGAAAAAAAAAAAAATCCTCATAATCCCAACTATATCAACCACTGCTGTTCCATCTACTGAGCCCTCACCCACAGGCAGGACTTGTGCACGTGAATTAGAATAGCAAGCACTCCTACAGCACTACCACGTGCCAGGCACTGTGTTAAGTGCTTTAAGATAGTCCCCACTGAACACTCACAACAGCTTTGAAGGAGGTTCAATCATGGCCCCGATTGTACCAGTGAGGAAACTGAGGCCCAGAGAGTTGAAGTGTCTTAACTAGGGCACACAATAAGGAAACCTTGGTCCCCCAAGCTCAAACCCTGGTGTCTCTGAGCCTAAAGCTGGTGCTTTTAGCCACCAAGCTCTCTAACCATTCATGCCCAGGTTATCAGACACACCTCTGTGGACAGGTGACCTGGCTTTACATTGCAGGGTCCCCACATCCATCTGGACGTCAGTCTCCCATGTGGGAAGGCTTTAGGGAGTCTGAAGCTCAGGGAGAAAGGATCAAGGGAGGGGGTTCCTCCATAGTAAATGTCAAGATTTTTAGGGAAGAAATAGGATGCTGTTGCTTAAAGTTCTATGCTTGTTTCTTAGAAAAACTCTTTTTTCCTGACTCTTCGTCTTGCCGTCTCTGTACTACTTTCTCTTCGTCTCCCCTCATCATTATCTTTCTAAATATTCCTACCATTAAAAAAGTAACAGACTGGGCAAAATGACAAAACCCCATCTGTACAAAAACTACAAAAAGAAATGACTGGGCATAGTGGTACATGCCTGTGGTCCCAGCTACTCAGGAGGTTGAGGTGGGAGGATAGCTTGAGCCCAGGGTGGGCAGAGGCAGCAATGAGCCAAGATCACGGCACTGCACTCCAGCCAGGGTGACAGAATAAGACCGTGTCTCAAAAAAATTAATTACTTTTTAAAAAATTAACAAGTGAGCCTGCAAGGTCATGTGCATTTGCAGTTCTAGCTACTCAGGAGGCTGAGGCTGGAGGATTCCTTGAACCCAGTTCAAACCCACCCTGTGCAACTTAGCAACACCAAGTCTGTATAAGAAGAAAAGACTGACAGCTAAGTTGATAATTAAAGGACAGATGGTCAGCGAGGTAAAGAAGGTGAGAAGGAAGAGCATTTTGGGCAAAGCCAGCAGCCAGGGCAAGGGCTGGAACCTGGAGCGAGTCTGGCAGATCTAGGGTCCCTCCTTCCACCTTTCATCTGGACCAAAGAGAGGAAGATTCAAAGGAGAAACCCTAGAAGGGCCCCAAGAGCATGGGAAGTGAGCTTGGTCTGAAGCCCCCTCTCCCTGCAGGAGGAGAAGAAACCCAACACAGAATTTTACATGAAGAACCTGGTGCTGACCACGCTGAATCTTTTCTTTGCCGGCACCGAGACCGTCAGCACCACCCTGCGCTACGGCTTCCTGCTTCTCATGAAATACCCAGAGGTGGAGGGTAAGGCTGGAGGGGGAGGGAAGTGGAGGGTTCCAGACCCTCAAAACTCCCCTGACCCTGGTGCAATGTCCCCACCTGCCCCAGATCCCAGGACCCTGAGACATGCCTTGCTGTCCAGAGACAGGGCAATATTCAGCTGATAGGAATCAGCTGAGTCTCACTGGCTATTAAAATACTGAAAATGTCTGCAGTGATTGGTCAGTCACTCCTGTCCCAAGCCCACTGAGTGCCACTATCTACTCCTCTGGATCATCTCCTAAGTTCCTCCCTGTGCCTCCCCTGTGATTTGGGCACAACCTGGTTAACAGGATACTGCTCCAACAATGTGAATCACTGATGTCTGTTATGAGTGGTCTACCTCCATGTCATTGGTGGAGCCATGTAATCCACCCCATTTTACCTATTTGGACTATAATCCCTTCTCTGAGACCCCTAGATACCTAAACACATTCCCCCTCCTCCCCCAGCCAAGGTCCACGAGGAGATTGACAGAGTGATCGGCAAGAACCGGCAGCCCAAGTTTGAGGACTGGGCCAAGATGCCCTACACGGAGGCAGTGATCCACGAGATCCAAAGATTTGGAGACGTGATCCCCATGGGCTTGGCCCACAGAGTCATCAAGGACACCAAGTTTAGAGATTTCTTCCTCCCTAAGGTACTGTCCCCCACCCTACTCAGACTACAGGGATGTCCAGTCTCTCTCTGTTTCCCCAGCATCCCACCCCCATTAGAAGCTTTCTAGACCCTGTCCCACTCCCTCAATTAGTCAAAGAAGACTTCCCCCACCACCACATCCGTTCCACCTTCCCACTTAGAGACTCCTGAGTTCTGCATCTCCCCAGACTTTTTGTGTCAGGAGAATCAACCCCATGTTCCCAAACTTCCTGTCTTAAGAAACAGGAGCCCCCTTTCCATTAGGCTTTTTGCTTTAGGGACACAAGTCTCAGGTCCCCCAAATACCCTGCCTAGCAGGACATGGACCCCATGTCTCCCAAACTTCCTGTTTCAGAGACATGAACCTTCTATCCCCCAAAGCTCCTTTCTCAGAGGACCCCAACTCCTCCATGCCTGCCACTTCCCCTTACCTGGAGCACCCTGGTTCCCCCTCCAGCCCCTGTGTACTTTCACCAATCCCCAACCTGCCTCATCACACACACCTTCCTCCTGCCTCCCAGGGCACCGAAGTGTTCCCTATGCTGGGCTCCGTGCTGAAAGACCCCAAGTTCTTCTCCAACCCCCAGGACTTCAATCCCCAGCACTTCCTGGATGAGAAGGGGCAGTTTAAGAAGAGTGATGCTTTTGTGCCCTTTTCCATCGGTAAGAGACTAACTACTGTTTGCCGCCAGGCCACTGCTCACACCAGCAGGAGCCTCCCTCACCCAGCTCCCCTCTGTGCGGTGTAGTCTGGTATTTCTCCAGCTTGGAAGTTCCTGTTAGAATCTACCCTTAAGCCACCAACTGATACTACCTTAACCACCAAGCACGCCATACCTGCGCCCAGGTAAAAGGGAAGGAAACATCTTCCCCCGTAGATTTATTTGTCTCGGGTCACACAGCAGATTCTTCAGATCCCTGAAAAGGAGATAATGGCACAGCACAGCAATCATATTTGCAAGTGTGTCTGGCAGGTAGGGGCATCTAAACCTCCCATTGCTACACCTGGCATGGATCATCCATCTCTGATGAATGCGTGACATTATGCCTTTTTCAAAACCGGTAGAACTGTACAACACAGAGCAAACCCTGATGTAAACTATGGACTTTGGTTAGTAATAATATATCAGTATTGGTTCACCATTGTTATACCTCTTATAGAAGGAAACTGAGGCTTCTCTGAAAGTCTCTCAGGCCGTAATATTCCACCTCTCCTCCCTGGGAGAGCCGCAGCTGGCGGTCGGTAGTGGGGCGAGGCTGCACTGAGAGTGGGCTTCACCTCCACCCCTCCCGCCTCTCCTCCTCAGGAAAGCGGAACTGTTTCGGAGAAGGCCTGGCCAGAATGGAGCTCTTTCTCTTCCTCACCACCATCATGCAGAACTTCCGCTTCAAGTCCCCCCAGTCGCCTAAGGACATCGACGTGTCCCCCAAACACGTGGGCTTTGCCACGATCCCACCAAACTACACCATGAGCTTCCTGCCCCGCTGAGGGAGGGCTGTGCTGGGGCAGGTCTGGTGGGCGGGGCCAGGGGCGGGGCTCACGGGAGGGGCGGGACTAAGAATGGTTGCAGGATAGGGGAAAGGAAGACTAGGTGGTTAGAGGGAAGAGAAGAAACAGAAGGGGCTCAGTTGACCTTGATGATGTCCTTCAGAGCTGGGATGAGAGGAAGGGAAACCTTATAGTATGCTATGGAGAGTAGTAATAATAGCAGCTCTTATTTCCTGAACAAGTACCTCCATGTCAGCTTTGTTCAAAAAGCGTTGCACGCTCACCTCACTTAATTGCCGCAAACCTCTGCAAAGGGGAACAGCGCTCATGCCCATTTTACATGTGACAAAGCTGAGACTCAAAAAGTTGTCTCTATCTGATGTCTCACAAAACATATGCGCCCAGAAAATCTTTGAACACAGATCTGTGCCCATAGCCCTCTGGACAGATTCTTAAAAAGCACTCTACCTTATGTAAAACAGCTTAGTATAGCATCAGACGTCCTGAACATCCCTGTCCTGAGGGTTTTTCCAGAGACCTGAAGGGCGGCTGTCCTACCTTCACTGCACACTTGCCCACACTCTCACCTACTCAGCATGCTTTGAATACCAGGGTGCAGTCTGAGCTCACTACCAGGTAAGGCCACTGTGGCCCACTCAGAGTCAGTCCAGGGACACAATGAGACATGAATGGACATACAGAGTCAGTCCATTGACAATTCTTTTGCACAGCAGAAGTTTTTAATTTTAATGACTTTCTGTCATTGTATCTCTTAATGAAGAAGTTGAAGGAGAGAACCACTTTCAGAGAATACCGAGAGAACTCTGGATGAAGACGTACCATATGCACGTGTGTGATCATGTGCAGGTGTGCATGTGAGCATATGACTGCATATTCTTCTCCGTGTATGCATGAAACACATTCCACTATGTGTTTCTGAAGGTGGGGCTCTCCTGATGGATCTGGGGTCCATTGTAAGACCCAGTTAAGAGTTTCACAGTCACTGCCCACTCTCAAGGAAGTTAGTGTATGTCCCCCTTAGAAGCTGCCTTACGGCATTCACGAAAATTAACTCAAAGTTTATCATAGACCTAAATGAAAAGTGAGTATAAAATTTCTAGAAGATAATACAGGAGAAAATCTAGATGACCTAAAGTTTGGTGATGACTTGTTAGATACAACACCAAAAGAACAATCCTTGAAAGAAGCAATTGATAAGTTCGTGTCATTAAAATTAAAAATTTCTGCTCTGCAAAAGAATTGTCAAGAGAATGACAATACAAGCTGCAGACTGGGAGAACATATTTGCAGGGAACATATCTGATAAAGGACTTACATTCAAAATACACAAAGAACTGTTAAAACTCGACAATAGAAAACAACTCAATTAAAGAATGGGCAAACAATCTGAGCAGACACCTCACCAAAGAAAATATACACATAGCAAAAAAGAATAAGGAAAGATGCTCCACATCATATGACAGTAGCAATTTCAAATTAAAACAATAGTTGTTTTTTGTTTTTTGTTTTTTTTTTGAGACGGAGTCTCGCTCTGTTGCCTGGGCTGCAGTGCAGCCTCAACTTCCTAGGCTCAAGCAATTCTCCTACCTCAGCCTCCCGAGTAGCTGGGACTACAGGCGCCCGCCACCTCGCCCGGCTAGTTTTTTGTATTTTTTAGTAGAGACGGGGTTTCACCGTGTTCGCCAGGATGGTCTCGATCTCCTGACCTCGTGATCCGCCCGTCTCGGCCTCCCAAAGTGCTGGGATTACAGGCTTGAGCCACCGCGCCTGGCTAAAACAATAGTTGTATACCACAACCCACCTATTAGAATGAGTAAAATCCAAAACTGACAACACCAAATGCTGACAAGGAGGTGGCTCAACAGGAACTGTCATTCATTGATGATGGGAATGCAAAACGGCACAGCTACTTTGGAAGGCAGATTGGAGATTTCTTGCAAAGCTAAACATATTCTTACCATGTGATACAGCAATCATGTTCTTCTGTATTAACCCAAAAGAGTTGAAAACGTATAGCCATACAAAAAATTTCTGCACAGATATTTATAGCAGCTATGTATTCATAGTTGCCAAATCTTGTATGTAACCAAGATGTTCTTCAATAAGTGAACGGATAAACGAACTGTGTTATGTTCATACAATGAAATACGGTTGGGCGTGATGGCTCGTACCTGTAATTACAGCACTATGGAAGGCCAAGGCACGTGGATCAGTTCAAGTCAGGAATTTGAGACCAGCCTGGCCAACATGGCAAAACCCCATCACTACTAAAAATACAAAAATTAGCCAGGCATGGTGGCATGTGCCTGCAGTTCCAGCTACTTGGGAGGCTGAGGTGGGAGAATTGATTGAACCTGTGAGATGGAGGTTGCAGTGAGCTGAGGTGGAGCCACTGCACTCCACCCTGGGTGACACAGTGAGACTTTGTCTCAAAAAGCAAGCAAAAAAAAAATCTATCTATCTATCTATCTATCTATCTATCTATCTATCTATCTAGATATAAAATTTGGCAATAAAAAGAAATCAGGCCTCAGAAAGACATGGAAGACCTGAAATGTATATAGCTAAGTGAAAGAAGCCAGTCTGAAAAGGGCACATACTATGTGATTCCAACTATATGACATTCTGGAAAAATGAAACTGTGAAGACAGTACAAAGATAGTAGTTGCCAGGAGTTTAGGGAGGAGGAAGGATGAATAGGTGCAGCACGTGGTTTTAGGGCAGAGAAACTATTCTGTGTGATACTGAAATGGTGCATAATATTATGCCTTATTCAAAACCCATAGAATTGTACACAGAAAAAATAAAACCTAATGTAAACTACAGACTTTGGTTCATAATAATATATCAATATTGGTTAATCATTGTAACAAAGGTACCATACTTATAAAAGATGTAAGGGGAAAAAGAAGTATATAGGAACTTTCTTCCATTCCAAGATGGTCAAATAGGAACAGCTGCAGTCTGCAGCTCCCAGAGAGATCGATGCAGAAGATGAGTGATTTCTGCATTTCCAACTGAGGTACCTGGTTCATTTCATTGGGACTGGTTGGACAGTGGGTGCAGCCCATGGAGGGTGAGCCAAAACAGGGCGGGGTATTGCCTCACCTGGGAAGGACAAGGGGTTGGGGGATTTCCCTTTCCTAGCCAAGGGAAGCCAAGACAGTGTGTACCTGAAAAATTGGGACACTACCGCCCAAATACTGTGCTTTTCCAACAGTCTTAGCAAATAGCATGCCAGATTATATCCCGTGCCTGGCTCAGCAGTTCCCACACCCATGGAGCCTTGCTCACTGCTAGTGCAGCAGTCTGAGATCAAACAGCGAGGTGGCAGCCTGGCTGGGGGAGGAGAGTCCACCATTGCTGAGGGGTAGGTAGGTAAACAAAGCATACAGGGAGCTCAGCAAGGCCTCAGCATTCCACCTCTGGGGGCAGGGCATAGCTAAGCAAAAGGCAGCAGAAACTTCTGCAAACTCAAACGGCCCTGTCTGACAGCTCTGAAGAGAGCAGTGGTTCTCCTAGCGTGGTGTTTGAGCTCTGAGAACGGACAGACTGCCTCCTCAGGTGGGTCCTTCACCCCGATGTAGCCTAACTGGGAGACACCAGGAGGGGCCGACTGACACCTCATACAGATGGGTGCCCCTCTGAGATGAAGCTCCCAGAGGAAGGATCAGGCAGCAATATCTGCTATTCTGCAGCCTCCACTGGTGATATATGGGAAAACAGGGTCACGAGTGAACCTCCAGCAAACTCCAACAGACCTGAAGCAGAGGGACCTGATTGTTATAAGAAAAACTAACAAACAGAAAGGAATAGCACTAACATCAACAAAAAGGACATCCACCTCAAAAACCCCATCTGCAGGTCACTAACATCAAAGACCAAAGGTAGATAAAACCACAAAGATGAGGAGAAGCCAGAGCAGAAAACCTGAAAATTCTAAAAGCCAGAGCACCTCTTCTCCTCCAAAGGATCACAGCTCCTCACCAGCAATGGAACAAACCTGGGCAGAGAATGACTTTGATGAGATGACAGAAGTAGGCTTCAGAAGGTCAGTAATAACAAACTTCTTCAAGCTAAATGAGGATGTTCGAACTCATCACAGGGAAGCTAAAAACCTTGAAAAAAGATTAGACAAGTGGCTAACTGGAATTAACAGTGTAGAGAAGACCTTAAATGAATGGAGGGAGCTGAAAACCATAGCATGAGAACTACGTGACACATGAAAAAGCTTCAATGGCCGATTCAATCAAGTGGAAGAAAGGGTATAAGTGATTGAAGATCAAATTAAAGAAATAAAGTGAGAAAACAATGTTGGAGAAAAAAGAGTAAAAAGAAACAAAGCCTCCAAAAACTATGAGACTATGTGAAAAGACCAAATCTACGTTTGATTGGTATACCTGAAAGTGATGGGGAGAATGGAATCAAGTTAGAAAACACTCTTCAGGATATTAGGCAGGAGAACTTCCCCAACCTAGCAAGGCAGGCCAACATTCAAATTCGGGAAATACAGAGAACACTACAAAGATACTCCTTGAGAAGAGCAACCCAAAGACACATAATTGTCAGATTAACCAAGGTTGAAATGAAAGAAAAAATGTTAAGGGCAGCCAGAGAGAAAGGTCCGGTTACCCACAAAGGGATGCCCATCAGACTAATAGTGGTCTCTCAACAGAAACTCTACAAGCCAGAAGAGAGTGGGGACCGATATTCAACATTTTAAAGAAAAGAATTTTCAACCCAGAATTTCATATCCAGCCAAACTAAGCTTCGTAAGTGAAGGGGAAATAAAATCCTTTGAAGACAAGCAAATGCTGAGAGATTTTGTCACCACCAGGCCTGCCTTACAAGAGTTCCTGAAGGAAGCACTAACCATGGAAAGGAACAACCAGTACCAGTCACTGCAAAAACATGCCAAATTGTACAGACCATTGATGCTAGGAAGAAACTGCAGAAAGTAATAGGCAAAATAATCAGCTAACATCATAATGACAGGATCAAATTCACACATGACAATACTAATCTGAAATGTAAATGGGCTAAATGCCCCCAATTAAAAGACACAGACTGACAAATTGGATAAAGAGTCAAGACCCATCAGTGTGCCGTATTCAAGAGACCCATCTCATGTGCAGAGACACACATAGGCTCAAAATAAAGGGATAGAGGAAGATCTACCAAGCAAATGGAAAGCAA